TCCATATAACATCTAAGAATGACTAGATACTAGGAGATCTTACTAGACGTTGCTATCAAGATGGCTAATTTTTTACCACACTACTTACAAAGAGTCTGTGAAAGTCTGCAGAGACAGTCAACCCGAGTATTAAGAGCTTCTAGAATAGAACATCTAGGAATAGTTGTGACAGGGACTACACTAGAATTTTATCAGAGTGCAAAACCTACGAATATATATAAGTGAGAATACTATGTATATTTTTGAGTGTTTTAAGAATATGTATGATAGTGAGGAACCTATGAATATGTCTAGCATTGAGGACACACGTGTGTGCTGTGGGCGTGTCTGTGGGTGGGGCCTGTGACTGAGTAGTCCTAGAAATACATACATTATGTTCCGCAATCTGCTTTTTGAGGGAGTTGACATCAGATGGATTGACAGGTGATGCAAGAAGCTTTTCCTGAGCATCGTTGATGGCAGCAGTCAATGTTTGTAGGTCGCCCTCGTACTGTTCCTGTTGAACGACAGCCTCTCGGAGTGTGGCACACTGATCACGGGCCATTGACTGGAGCTGGTTGATCTCCTTAGCCAGCTTGTTTGTGTTCCCCGAGGGTTGATCACCCTCGGCATGCTCAAGTTCTGCCTGTTTCTGTATCACCAGGAGTGCTTTCCCTTTGTTGCTCTCGATCTCCTCCACAAGTTTCTGTTTAAGCATGGAATGTTTTTTAGACTGGCTCTTATCATCAAATATTTTTATAAGAATTTATGAACTGAGGTTTTATTAAGCTAGATTTGTTTGATCCTATTACACATGAGTACACTCCTGGACTCAATACAATAAGTACTAATACCAAGCTTTATTTAGGGATGTTGAAAATCTAGTTCGCGAACTTTCTCAAATGTACAGCATACCATGTTTTACACTATAAGATACCCATCTTACCTCTTGCATAGCAAGCTGATCTTTGAGAGTGAGGGAGGCATCCCTCATGGTCATTTGTGCTCTCGTATTGTCCATCCACTGGCGAAGACTGGTCAGTTCTGTCTCTAAGTCCTCCATTTCTTCCGTTGCGTCCTCTAGCTTGCTAAGTTTGTCAGAGGCATCTGTCTGCAGGTTGTACATGTGTTGGTTCAGCTGCTGTAGTTGCTCTCGACTTGATGAAGAATCACAGACCTCCTCCATCTGCTTCGACAAAGAGTTTAGGTGGGCCAGGCGACCTTGGTTGTGGTCAAGGTCACGGGCAAGCCTCTGTAATACAGAAGAAACGAGATTGCAACACGATGCCAATATCCCTCAACGCTTAACTACTGACTCATAGTTCATGAAGACATGCAGTAAGTTATGATCATATTCCACCTAATGATTGACCTATTTCTAAATGTGACTCTTCCTCCTAAGTTGTACCAGTATACCAAGTTTAATGATACAAAGTGAAATAATGTGGGTGATATGCTCTGGACAATGCCTCAGACAGACAGACAGACAGACGGATTGACGGACAGTTGGATGGCCGGACAGCCGGGGGGCATTACCATTAACCAATTAACAGTTTTCAAATTCAAATTTCACTTCTCATGTATAGTTAGTAACAAGTCATCCATAACACCATAACACTCCTGCTCATCACCTTTCACTTCTCACGTATAGTTAGTAACAAGTCAGCCATAACACCATAACACTCCTGCTCATCACCTTTCACTTCTCA